AAACACTGAGGCTTTTGCTTTTTGTTTCTATGGCGCAATTAGCTTCGATCCAACACTGCTGAGGAGGAGGAGGTCAATGCATGGTCCTCATGTCCTGTTAGTCCATCTCTGTGAGGTTTGGCTGAACCTCAAACTGGATCAGATAATGATAATAGTGATCCAAAGGATCTTCTCGCAAATTTTTTTTTTTTCATTTTCATTTAGCCCTCTCCAGGCAGATGTTGCAGATTTGCAACAGCTAAATGCCACTTAGCAAATTACTCCACATCCATATTTTAAGAGCTTTTGTTACTCAGAAGTACAACAGAAGGACTTAGTTGCGCATTTGCAACAACAGTTTCTCTCCAGCTCACCAGATGGCGCTGCTGACTCACTTTCAACATGGCCGAGTCCTTGGTGTCACTGAAACAGATTTTCTAAGCACCAATTTCATGTAAGTATCACTACCAATTTCCATGATTTTGAAATCAATACTACATAAGATTTATCATGAATGTGTATAGATATGACACATGCCAGAGGCATCTTGATTTCAATGTTGTTGATTCGCAACGTTTGCCCAAACAAGTACCAATGGAAGCTACATGCTTTATATACTAGTTTGCCTATATTTTGAGCAACAGTTTAATAGAAACGGCATTCTCAAGAGGTTTTGAGATGACGGTGGAGAAAAACTTTGAGGAAAAGTTTTTTTTTTTTCAAGTTTTGTTTTGTTAATTTTTTGTTTGTGACATTCAATTAAAGTTAGCGTTCATATTTTGCTTGTAAAGTGAGGAGAATGGCGCTAGGCTTACCGCACCGTGACGTCACTGCCGGAAGATGGATGGGGGGAGGTGTTAATATATGTAGGCAAAAATGGCCGCTCCCAGACTCAGCGATTGTTACGAAAATTATTGTATTAGTATTGTAGTATTGTACTGTAAATGCCCCATTAGCGCTGTCGTTGGAGAACCATTCCATCCCCTTCAGTTTAGGTTTTAGCTCAAGCCTCTCTGTTGGAGAATGTTTTATGTATATGTGTATTATAATATAACTAGGTCAAGGTCATCAGAGTTGCAGTGTGTCTGTACAATGAAAATAGCTGCATGAGCTGGAACTCTGCAGAGAGGGAAAGCAAGAATACTTATTTAACAATGACCATCTGCCCTATTTACTAGAGGGCAAATATAACTCAAGTCACTTCAACTCAACCTCTCCTCCACTGTTGCATGGGAATGCCAGGTGTGCAATCTTTGCAACATGAACCACAGCCCTGAGCGTTGTGTGCGCTGCATAAAGTATACCAGTCACAAATGCAGGAAGGACTCACCTTGGGTTTGTAAAAACTGCTAAATGGGACAATTGTAGCTTCATATGTAGAGCTTTTCCTTGGGTGAAATAAATGTTACTCCAATGCTGAAGTCTAAGCTGAAATGTTGAATGACATGAAAAGGCGAGACAAGAAAAAATACAATTATTCTCTAAGTTTCTTTCACATTGTGAGCTTTGCAATATAAATGAGTCTGTTGGTGAATGGACAATATAAATAGGCTCTGCCTTGCCTTGTTGGAAAAGCTGGTTATGACCTGTTCTCAGCTCAGGAACTAGGACCCGTATGATACCTGGTTGATTGATAGGTTTGCCTAAATAAAAGATTTAGATATGACTTATTAAATATATTCCCGCAAAAAGGTCTGATGTTGCAGGGGCAGGTAATAAAAAGTGTTTGGAACATGCTCTTGTTCTGATGCCAGTTTGTTTCAGCCTTTATCCAGTCTCATGTAGAAGGGCTGCTCATATCACAGGTTATTTGCATTACAACAAGGACAGTTAGCAAGGTAGAGTGAAAACACAAACTTAAAGAGGGGAGGGGGGCTTGCAGGATAACCAAAATTCTCTGGGACTTTTACTGCTAATGATTAATTAATGATTAATTACCTGTTTGGATGTTGCTTTTATTGTGAAAACCCTTTTGTTTTGACCTGTTGAATGAACCCTCATCATGCAGGAGCATAATTAGAGGTCTGACTATCTGGGCACCATGACCTTTGTCAAGTTAAGTGAATCATTCACTGAGTTCCTTTATCAATTTGACCATAAAACATATGGTTTACCTGGATACTCCCCTCTCTTAACCTCTTACACCCTCAGGGGGTATAAATAAATTTCTGCGTGACAAAAACACACAAAAGTAAATCACTTATAGCCTCAAAGCTATTAGATTTAAGAAGAAACTTTTGGTACCTCTGTAAAGGTAAGATGTCATAGAATGGTTTTCTGGTGTCAGCACCATTGTAGCTTTGACCCTGCCTGAAATATTAGGGACAAAATACAAAATATTTTGCATTTTTTGAACCTCGACAAAATTTTCTTTGAAATAAACATTGCAAAACACTACCAAAATATTATTTATAGCACAAAAAAGTAGTACAGACTTTTAAATCTAAATGTTGTGTACAAATACACCAAATTTGGACTCAATCAGATGAATCATATTTATTTTAGAATGGTATTAGTGAGAAATTTCTTAGGCGGAGAGGCCATTTTGGCACATGTATCCAAAAATGTCACCAAACTGTGCCAAATGTGTTTTTTACATCAATACTGGAGGTTTGGTAAAATTATGAGGTCACGTAGCAGCTGGACCCACCGGTGGGTCCGTAGGGTTCTAGGGGTTAAACAGTGACTCTGCAGCTCATTAATAAAAAATATTCCTCTAAACTTTGGGGGCGAATCTGAGGAACATCAGTTTATAGAAGTCTGACAGTTAAATTCTAATAGATACATTTTAGAGTGAATTCCAAGTTTTTTTAAACAGGTTCGTGCTTCCAGCTCTGTGGGAACAGTTCATTGACAGCAGGCTTTTAGCTAGGAATATTTAGTGACTTTTCAGACCCCTCTAGCACTTTTACTGAAAAAAGCACCTAGCCCCAAATCTAGCGATTTTTTTCTGCTAGTGGAGACTTTGGCGACAACATCTTAAAGCAGCGAACTCTGCTCTCCAGAGCAAGTAGATTGGTAACCCCGCCTCCTGCTCTCCTCTATCTTGTCTGCTTTCATGTCATGATGGTGAGATGATGCCTCATGAGGCGTTGAACCGTTTGGCCAAATTGCTTCAACGATCCCCACAGTTCATGAGGCTTCATGTGAACATGTCACCACCTACTGGTGGAGTGCAGAACTACAGTTAGTAAATAAATTAGATTTATTTGCTATTGTTTTTCTTGTTTTCTCCCATTAAAGTTCCTTTGGAATTGTTAATGGTTGGTGAGTGTGTTTTTTTGTGTGTAAAATGTCTTAGAAGAGAACAATCGTTTAAGGTGCACAGTTTTTCTGCCATTTCAGCGAAATAAGTTCAAGCAGACAGTGAAAGTGTTTGTGCAAATTGGGCAATGATTAGCAAAATAAAAGGTGTTGGTCATTTTAATTCAAACATATTAGTTTTCCAACAGTTTTGGCTAAACCAATCAAGCTAATTTGGCAGTGTTCAATTCAATTCAATTAAATTCTATTCAGTTTATTTCTATAGCTCCAATTCACAACACATCTCATCTCAAGGCACTTTCCAGTTCAACCAGATCATCCAGTCAGAAAGTTTTCTATCTAAGGAAAACCAGCTGATTGCATCGACTCATTGACTCTTCAGCAATCCCTCACACTTAGCATGCTTGTAGCGACAGTGGAGAGGAAAAACTCCCTTTGAACAGGAAGAAACCTCCAGCAGAACCAGGCTCAGTGTGAGCGGCCATCTGCTGAGGCCCACTGGGGTTCAAGGAGACAGAAGCAGACATAGAAAAAGAAGCATAGATACAAAAGGCAACTGTAAAAGGCGGGAAAACACACAGCCAGGCAGACGAGCTCAGAGCCAGCTCCCATGTCAGAGGATGAAGAGAGCACATCCAGTTAGTCACAGTCAGAGAAACAGGACTACACTGGAAAACAGGCCAAGCTCCAACATCTAGAAACAAAGGTGTTGATGGCAGCAGCACAGCTGATATTTCTCTCCAGGATGGAGTCACAGCCAAACAGGAACAGACCAGATGAAGCTACTATGAGAAAAAGCAGAGAGAGCAGAACGTTAGAGATTGAACTAACAGATTCTGCAGAGTGGGAGAATAGAGATAGAATGAAGCAGAATGATGAAAAAGGGGTCCCTATGTCCTCCAGCAGTCTAAGCTATAGGCTATTTCTAGATGTTGGAGATCGGCCTGTTTTCCAGTGTAGACCCGTTTCTCTGACTGTGACTAACTGGATATGCTCTCTTCATCCTCTGACATGGGAGCTGGCTCGGAGCTCACTTAGCTGATATTATCACGATATTGCAATATCACTATATATTGCTATATTTTCCCCTGCTGTCAAAATTAAATTTACAGATAAAAAAATCTAGTGCTATATGTTCATCAGACGATTTTGATCATTTACTGCAAAAAAATCGATACTAGGAACTTAAAGATTTATATTATGTTGGGCAGGCAAAAATCACAATGTATCACCGAAATGTTTTTTTTTTTTTCTACACCGTGAGTCTGCCTGTCTGTGTGTTTCCTGTGGAGCTGGTTGACAGTTGCCTTTTGTATCTATGCTTCTTTTTCTATGTCTGCTTCTGTCTCCTTGAACCCCAGTGGGCCTCAGCAGATGGCCGCTCACACTGAGCCTGGTTCTGCTGGAGGTTTCTTCCTGTTAAAAGGGAGTTTTTCCTCTCCACTGTCGCTACAAGCATGCTTAGTGTGAGGGATTGCTGAAGAGTCAATGAGTCGATGCAATCAGCTGGTTTTCCTTAGATAGAAAACTTTCTGACTGGATGATCTGGTGAACTGGAAAGATGACATGATGTGAATTGGCGCTATAGAAATAATTGAACTGAAAAGGCAGAAGTTTGCGCATCCACCGCTAAGGGGAGCGCATGGCCCATGCATGCAGACATCATCTGATCAAACCGGTAAAGCGGAGCTTTAGCCGTAGCCCTCCCATTGGGCGTGTTTGGTTCCAGGAAGCAGCAGCAGCAGCGGGCTGCTGTCCCTCCGTGTCTCCGCCCTGCTCGGTGTTTCCTCAGGTGCGGCAGCAGCTGGACGCGCAGAGGAATGTTTGCGCCTCAAACATGGACTCCGCGTTTCTCCCCAGCGTGACGTTAGCAGAACCTGGTCGATGTTCGAGGCTCCTGCTATGATGATCGCTGTTTCCGGACAACTTTGAAGCCTTCCAGGTGTTGCAGGTGTATTTTTTTTTTTTTTTTTTACCCAGGGGTCTTTTCTGACGCCTCACCATGCCGGCGGATCAGATCAGCGTCACGGAGTTTGTTAATGAGACCAATGAGGACTACAAAGCTCCGACCACCTCCAGCTTCTCCACCCGGATGTCCCACTGCAGGAACACAGTGGGAGCTCTGGAGGAGGTGGGCTCACACACTCACGACCTGATCACCATCATGGGATCATAGTTTGACAGAAAAGCCTTTCAGAGTTTAATGATTGAACCCTTTAAGATGCAACCTGCTGCTACTTCCTGCTCTCAGAACAACTGATTTCACTCTGAGTTGTTTTTATTCAGTTTATCAAGTTGGAGGAGTTGTTGCAGATCTGTAAGCAGACTCATGTTTTTCATGCTGAAAAAGAGGAACAGAGAGCAGCACTTCCTCCTGATGAGGCTGCAGTTGCCTCTCAGCCTGCTGCCTGTGGAGGAGTTGTGCAACTCTGTGATGATGAGGCTCATTTTTAGGTTTTTTTTAGATGCAGATTAAATAGAATCTTTATGTCTTAAAGCTGGGGTCTCCTTCATGTTGTGGCATAATGATCTTCTTTGGGGCCCCTTGCTGAGATCCTGCTTTTCCCATCCTTTATTCATTTTCCCCCTGCTTTTTTATTGTCATTACATTGTCAGAACCCATCCCCCTGGGGAGCAGTGGGCTGCCATTGTGGGGCACCCGTGGGGACTCAGGAGCTCTGGATTCCAACCACTAGGCCGCCACCACAGGCAGGTTTAAGAAATTTGGGGCCCTAGGCAAAGACAGGCAGGGGGCCCCTCTGAATGGAGAAGACAACACATAAAACAGACCCATTCTACAGATAGAGAAATGTTAATAGAATAGACATCCATTATCTGTTCTAGGTTGTGTCCCTCTCTTCTTGTCCCTTTTCTTCTTGTTTTCCTCTCTATGTTTTGTACTCAGCTGACTTTTCATGCTGTCTCTAAAGGAATGAAAGATTTTTTCCAAGCACTAAGCTCACTTAGCTGATTGCTCCTTCCTGTGTTTCCAAAAAGGCCAAAGTAAATAACCCAGTCCTTCTTTTCACTGTAGACAAGCCATGATCTGCTTATCTGTTCTCCATTTTTCATTTGGATGAAATAATAGCTGCATGAATCATGACAGCAGACAAGATAGAGGAGAGCAGGAGGCGGGGTTACCAATCTACTCGCTCTGGAGAGCAGAGTTCGCTGCTTTTAGATGTTGTCTCCAAAGTCTCCAGTAGCAGAAAAAAGTCTCTAGATTTGGCGCTAGGAGCTTTTTAGAAATCAAAGTGCTAGAGGGGTCTGAAAAGTGGCTAAATATAGCGGCTAAAGCGCTAAGTTGGCAACACTGCTCTTTGCATGGTTTGTTTTCAAATGGTTTGCTGCTGTCTGTTTGGACCTTTCTGAACATGTGCAGCAAATGGACTGATCCAATATGGAGGACACTGAAGGGGGGGGGCTGAGACACACTTAATATTATCAGCATTCTGATTTTTCTAGTAATCCCATTGATTTTCCACTTGAGGAGTTCTGATAGAGAATATTGACAGAGGAAAAAAAAAATGTTTTACCTTGAATGCAAAATGTTTGTATATTTTTTTTATTTTATTTTGATATAATTCCTGCTCTAAGTGGGTCACTCTGTCAGCTAAAGGCGTTTTACAGTCTCTATACTTCAGTTAACGATTAATCAATTACTGAATTAGTTGACATTATTTCATTAACCGATTAATCCATTTTATTGTTTCAACCCTATATCGGATGAATAGTCATGTAAGTCTTTGAATCTCATAGTTTTATTTTATTTAAACTTAAATTTAGATTATAAAAAAATGTTTTTGGTTCTGGGCTCAGTTTGGGTCAGAAACAGCCCGTTGGCTCCCTGTTAGTCGAAGGAATTCACTGTCGCTGCTGGTCAGGCAGGAACCATGTGGACCGCCCTCGTCTTCAGACCTGCTTGCGTTTTATTGTTTCTTTCCAGGAACTGAACAAGCTGAAGCAGCATCCAGTTTGTCAGCTCCTTAGATCGAAATCTGACCTCTTTTAAAAATTAGATGTTCAGAAACCGTCGGTTCATTTGATCCAGGAGTAAAAACATGTTTGCTTACCGCAGATTGTGATGACAGAGTGTTAACATCGTACTGCTGGAAACATTTAGTGCTTTTCTGAAAACAGCTGTCCAGGAAATCCTTCAAATGGAACTAAAAAGTAGATTTCCCACACATTAAAGCAGTAAAACAGTCCCAGACCATCATACCACCACCGCCCTGTTTGGCTGTATGTAGGATGTTAAGGTTTTGTTTTTTTGTTTGTTTGTTTTGTTAAATTCCACATGTCTGTTAGAGGGGCATCTTTGCCTGGTACCCCTTTCTCTCTATCTATTACCCCAAGCTGAGACTGATCTGAGCTCAGATCAGTTAACCAGGCCGAGCTCGGTTCTGACGACCGTTTACACATCCTGCTATATCGGTTCCTCGACTCCTCGCCTCCTAGTGACGATCTGCGGTATTACTGCCAGTATTGAAGGAGGAAATCAAGCAGTTGGTGGCGGTAATGCACCAAAAGTTGTTTGCCAACCGCCATAAAACACAAGAAGAAGAAGACGAAGAAGGAGGGAATCAAGCAAATCCAAATGGCGGCGCCCGGCACATTCAGAAAGTTATGCTTCATTATTGTTGCTGTACTACTACGCCAACTACTGGAATGGAGTGTGAATCGCGATGTGCAGCCAGACGGAGATGACGCGTTCTGCTCATGCGCTCTTGTTATCAGAGAACCGAGCCAGGGAAAAACCGAGCCAAGCCCACCTCTGGAACTGGTCTGCAGTTAGCTCGGTCCGGTTGTGTCTAGCTCGGTTCAGTTCAGTTTGCTTTCCATTTACACACCATAAGTTATCTCAGTTACTGAGCTCGGACCGGTCTCTGCACGGTTTTTCAAGGGTAGTGTAAATGGGGTAATTGTTGAGTCATGACCTTTGACCCCACAAATGCCTGCAGAGCTTTAGGCCTGGTTTTATGCACAGAAAGCAGGTCGTCTGCATGTGTGTCATAGTGAACGCAGATATGTCCCCGCCCCCTCCGCAGAAACTCTGGTGCTTCTCCCAAAAATTGTAGGTGACCGCAGACAGTAGGCCTCTGATTGGTCAAATCTACTACACACTATGCGAATTTCCTGTTTGGTACCTTACCGGCTTGTTTTGTTTGTATGACCGCCATTTTGGAAAACGACTCGAAGAAGTGAGGAAGCACCCACATCTGTACGACTCTCGTTCTCCACACCACAAGGACAGCCCTCGTTGACAGCGCCATCGTTGTTGAATGACCACCGAAACCGGAAGACAACTCACCACCCACCACCCCCATAATCCTAGCTAGTTCCTCAATGTCCATCTTGCGTTGTGGCGTGGAATAACATAGCGCAGACCAGGCTTCAAAATTGGGCTTAATTAAAAAATATCTGTGACGAGCTTACTGCGACACACTGCTGCGGGGAGGATAAACAGCCCTTTAGATATTCTGGGTTCTTCTGGGACTTCCTGAATGGGAAGGTTCTCCACTGTTCCATGTTTGTCCATTTTACTGATTACGTTTCTCTAGAGTCTGAAGGCCTTAAGGCTGATATAAACTTCGAAACCAGATCATCTGCATAGGTGTCGCAGTGAACGCAGAGACGTCCCCGCGCCCTCCTCAGACACTCTGCTGCACCTCCCAAATTGTAGGCGACCGCAGACAATGCCGCAGACAGGAGGCCTCTTATCTCCTTTTTGGTTCCTTACCGGCTTGTTTTGTTTGTATGACCGCCATTGCTAGACCAGCTAGAAGAGAGAACGCTGCGACCCTTTTTCCACCTGGATCCCGGCTCTTTTTGGCCCTCATGTCCCTCCGTTGTCGCGCAAACTTGCCCCCACTTCCTCAAAGCCTCGGCCGTATCTAAAGCCACAGCTAGGCCGTACCTAGAGCCGCAGCTAGGCCGTATGTAGAGCCGCGGCTAGGCCGTACGTAGAGCCGCGGCTAGGCCGTACGTAGAGCCGCGGCTAGGCCGTACCTAGAGCCGCGGCTAGGCCGTACCTAGAGCCACGGCTAGGCCGTACGTAGAGCCACGGCTAGGCCGTACGTAAAGCCACGGCTAGGTCGTACCTAGAGCCACGGCTAGGCCGTACGTAGAGCCACGGCTAGGCCGTACGTAGAGCCACGGCTGGCCGTACGTAAAGCCGCGGCTAGGCCGTACCTAGAGCCACGGCTAGGCCGTACCTAGAGCCACGGCTAGGTCGTACGTAAAGCCACGGCTAGGCCGTATCTAGAGTCACAGCTAGTTCCTGATTGTCCCTGTTGCGTTGTGGCGTGGAATATAGTGCAGACCACCCTTCAAAATTGAGAATAAATCAAAAAATTGTCAGCGTCATACCTGCGACAAGCTCACTGCGACACTCTGCTGCGGGGCGTATAACCAGCCCTTTAGAAATGATCAACAGATGTCACTGACGTTGTTTCTCATCTAATTTTGTGCGTCTTCAGTTGGGGCATCAGGCGTTCCTTTTTAAGAGCATTTAGCCAACATCCTGTTATCAGACGGACTGTTTTCAAGCAGCAGTTTCTACAGGTCTGATGGTAATCAGGTCTGGGTACGGTGAGGGAGACTGAACCACAAACCAATGTAAATCAAACTGTTTATCCAAGTAGGGGATTACTTCAAAATACCATTCAGCATTATGTCTTCATTCCCGTTCCTTTGTCCTTTTTTTTTTAGCTGTATTTCCCCTCTGTAGACGACTGAGCAGATAATTATTTGAGCAGGTACCCGTCGACACCTGATGTCTCTGTAGACGGCTCCACTTCCTGTCCAGAAATGACCACAGCACATCTACAGCGGCCCCACCCTCATCTCTAAGGGGAATGGGAGCCTGTTCTGGTTTCTCTTCTCTAGTTTTGCTTATTTGTGCTCCAGTTAGAAGCAGGTCTGTAGATGTTTTCCTCTCTGGTGCTTTTTGCTTTTCTCTTGCATCTTTATGGTTAAATTCCCCCGAGTTATTTTTGAGACTCTCGACCTGCACGGATGTCATTGTAGCTTTTTTAGGCTCCTGTCAAAGCAGCGGTCTGAGCAAACTTTGAATGATTTCTACTACTTATTGCAGATTCTTTCCCCGTATGTAAGAGTTTATCTCTCTCT